ACATCAACACTCTTATTATTGTTACAATTCTAAATACAAAACCTAAGCTGCCTGTACTACAATACCGGCACGCTATGATGGCCGTTTTGACGTTTGTCCGCTCATCAAGTTTCGTATTAATTCATAACTACTTTGAAGGAGCTAATTGCTGTACATTGTAGTACAATAGTGACATGCAGAACGTTAAATGGAGTGACTTAAGCCAAATAGTATTGACGACACACCCTTGATTTTTAAAACAGACAGACATGACATTAACTATGACCATATATATTAATGATACCCTCTCTAAGGTAGTTTATTGGTTTTAATGCTAACAATTTATTGCTTAATGCCAAGAAGACAAAATGTGTTAAATTTGAATTACCTTACGTAAAATCGACTAGTCCAAGCATAGAAATAAATGGAGAAAAGTTAGACCTTGTTAATAAAGCAGTCTTCTTGGGAGTGACCTTAGATAGTAAACTTCAAAGGTTTCCACATATATCTTCCCTGCCCCGTAGATTAAGCTCCGCTGCATACGCAGTCCGCAGAATACGTGTGCTTACCGATGTTAGTACTGCTAGACTAATTTACTTTAGTTACTTCCATAGTATAATGTGTTACGGGATTCTCATGTGCGGTAAAGATATTCAAACCATATTAATATTAATATAAAAAGAGTTTATTAGTCGAGGCTCTCGGGTATCTCAGAGAAAAGTTTAAGGAGACTGGTATCATGACTCAAATATTTTATATGCCCGTAAAAATATACGTAATTTCAATAAGAAAGAAGATATCCATAATATTAACCTTAGAGCTAAGTCCAAACTCATGGTACCACGATTTTGTTTAACCAAGGTAAACAATCGACATCTTTTATGGGGAACTGTATACGGTTTTACAATAAGATTCCGGAGCATATATTAAGATTATCATTTCCTAAGTTTAATAACTACATTAAAAATATTTTGATTGAAAAGTCATATTACAAAATTGAAGACTACGTGTTAGATAAAGATGTATGGAAAGACGACACGGCTCCAGAATCCATACAAATTTGATTCAAAGTGTATTCCATAGCATTTAAGTTTATTTGAAAAGAGCAATCCCTAGAGTTTCCCTCTCTCTCCCTCTCGCTTTCACTTTGAAATGGTCTTCACTTGTATGGTCGCTGGCCAGCACAACTTCTCCCGCAAACGCGCGTCAGAGCTCAGTGCAAAACAAAGCAGTTTCGAATTGACTTTGCTTCGGTTAATTTAAATATACCTATTACTTAGTAAACATTTTTATTTTCCTTTCATGAAAACTTTTATATGCTACCCCTTGCAATAGTAGATAAAAATCTAAAAACTTATGGATGTGACTCGCATTTGATTATATTTTTTCCGAGAATGAATTGAGATGTCACCTCACTATTGTACTCTGTCGAAACGGCCATCATAGCGTGCCGATATTTAATTTTTTATTTATTTATGGAGGTTCATCAGCAATTGCTATATCAATACATGTACATTTTACATTGTTGAGGGTATTTAGCTAGATGCAAACTATTTAAAGATAAAACACAGCTTGCATCAAATTGAGCAGAATAGTCTGAACACTACAGTGATACAAAGAAAAAATAACAAACTGAATATGACGATAAAACCTTAGAATAATAACGCATAGAATGCGAGTTTCATATCAAACGAACTGTCACAAGTGAGGCAAAAATCAAATTCATGTGGGCTAGTTTTAGTAGTAGGTTAATTTTCGGTTTTAGTGAATATTTATATAAAAATACAAGTTGAAACGCGTTACTTCCTAGTGGAATGTGATGTTAGTATCTATTTTATATTTGTGTGACGTATTTTTACACTCATTTACCGCGCATTTCGTCATTTTTAGCTAAAATTCTTGAGCTGTTCGCGGTGCAAGTTAACCTTGAGCACTGACGGCCCGCCCGCTCGTGTAGGCCCATTGGGAGCGCTTCAATTTGCCTCACTTAGCGTGTGCGGACTAGGTTTCTATGCGTTATTATTCTAAGGATAAAACAAGATATTTGAATAAAAAATATACATCCTAAATGTAAAGGTTAGTATTGTATACTATAATAGGTGTACTTACATTGCAGAGTAGGTGGGGTAAGAATATAGATAAAGATATTTCATATGATATTTTAAATTTATATGATACCTGCCTACAGCGAACTGCATCCCTTGTAAAAACACAAGGATATTAAATATATACATAGTCTAATGTACTGGGCACCAAGTCCACTAATTATCTTAAAACCACTGTTATATAACCAGAAATAGATACGAAATAAGAGCCATCCATCTCTGGCAATTCTTCAGGCAAATGCGCCTTATAACAACTCTCGTTTGCACTGGAATCGCAAAATAGAAAGATAAAATAGTACAGCGCCAACTACTGACCTGTGTGTACGTTTCCGTATATTCCAAAAATATTCTGTATTTATTGTAATAAAGGTAATATCTCTAACAATGGGAGGGTGTTCCATTCGTTGGTGCGGGAAAAGCAGCAAAACATCTAATTACAAAACAAACAAAATCACATTTTATTAGTAATTAAATATGTAATTTTTCAATTTTCGTCATATACTCGTTATATACTCGATGTTGCAATTCCATTGAAACTCCACTGTTTGTATTGCAATTATGACAATCTTTTTGACAAACAAAATTTTTTCCAACGCCTCATAATTACGGCTTCTCACTTAATTTGCCCCAGACACAACACTTCACTATTTCGTGGCAGTTTTCGTTATGCTTTACACCCAGGAACTCTAAAACTGTAAAATTTTTTACTAGAATTGCAAAAAAGACAAGATAATATTGAATATTCCTGGCAGCAAAAATAGGAAATAGGTGGCAGGCTATATTTCCCTGGAAGAACTCTGTCTCAGTGAGCTATACGTTTACTTAAAATGTACCAACAGGAGGTTGAGGAACTCTTTTTCAACGAAAAACGAAGTTTCGATCGAAATGTCGCACGTTTCTTACCACAGTTCAATTTCATTGCGAAATTTCGTTCGAACGAAACTTGTTTGACGTTTAGTTTTTCTTACTCTAAGTCGTGAAGTGTCCGAACGAAAATTTGATTTTGACAGATAATTCTTCTAATTAATGTCAATTTGACGAAACTAAAAGTGCTAACTTTTGATTTTCTTACATGTGAATTTTGTTAAAAATTTGATTGAAATGACTGGAACAATGCTTTTGTTAATCGAAGCTCTGCGTGAAGAACGTTCAAATAAAAGAAAGACTTCATGTAAACGAGCTCACGGTTGTTGTTCACGAGTTGGGAGAAAATGAACTCAAAGGTAAAAAAAGGTTGCCTCTGAATGAGCTGCTTCTTTAGCTCAAGACATGTTGGCCGGAGAGCCAGAGCTGTGCAGTGCAAATTTCGGAAACCATGTCCAAAATAAAGTTCTACCCAAGGAAATACAGATTGTTGTTGATTTAATAAAATCAATTTACTGCATTATATTTTTGCTTTTTTTAAGAAATAATGTTTACAAAAAATCTTCTACAAATACCTTCATTTAGATATTTATAATGTAAATCTTATGTACGATAAGTTTACAAAGAATACAATTTATAGTACAATAGCGTATAATATACGAAAATTTCTGGTTGTCATACTTTTGTCACCTCAGTTTGCATGAAATGATACGAAATAAATAGGAAAGCAGAGTATTTTACAGCGTTTCGGCTAATTACGTGAAAAATATATTTTCATTTGTTTCTTTATATTTTCCGCATGAATATTACAAGAAATGCTTAGTGAACCACATTTTAATGTAAAATTTAAAAATAAAGCGAAAGAATTGTATTAATTTTAAGATAAGTAAAAACCGTAATTAACTGTAGACGACATCAAAAAAGACCTACGCTATATTATTCATTCCATTCGTTCACGAGAATTGTATATGACAACCAAATGACAACGAACTTTATGCGCCCGATTGAACAGGAATTAGAGTAAGGTTGTTGACGAAATTTTGTTTAATTATCGCAGGACAATGCGACTGGCATCTCCGGTACTAGCCCGGAGAGCTAGTAGAAAATAAGCTAGATATCCTCCAGTCCCTTCAGCCGTTTAGGTTATTGGGAACTGGAGAGACGTCGTTTTTCGGCGTCGGAAAGTGAACGTGGCTTACAGCTCTGCCACCAATGAGGAGATTTGGTATTGTACTTTAGAGTCGACGGCTTAGCGGTGGCAACTGCTAGTTGTGCAATGCGCAACGGGAAGTGAGCATGCCTGCAACTCCGGTACCTGTCTGGAAAATAGGGAAGGTACTGTACGAGCACCCGGGGCAGTTCACCCGAGGCCTCTCGAGAACCGGATAAATCAAGTGACAGAGGTCTGTAACAACCCTGTACACGGGGTCAAAACCTGAACTTGTAAGATTTCTGTGCGCGCACAGGAACCCTTATAGTGCCCTGCTCGTATACGCTAACAGTCGGTAGGGAGGATCCCTACAATGAAAATGTAGAAAGATATGGGGCTGTAGCACCAACTTATTGTCAATTTATCTGTTTGACCGAAAGGTTGACTGGTAGAAGAATGGCATCGTCATTAATACTTTGTTGTATTGTGCAAAAAGGAATAAAATGTTAAAAAAAGTAAAAAGCATTGATCAATTTTACAGTCAATGACTAGACTGTTGATATAAATAATAGTTTCAACTATTTTTATTAAAAAAACGGACTTAAAAGTTTGTGGAATTACATCTATTTACCAAGTTTTATTGCAATTGTTTAACGGAAAGTGGGTTAAATACAATAAACAGCATTTGTCCCCTTTTTTTAAATTTGAAGGGGTCCACTGATGAGGTACCCCATTTCCAACAAAAAAAGAATCGTCGAAATCGGCTCTCAAATATAGGAATAATCGTATAACATCGTGTACACACAAATAGACACAATCCAATTGAGAACCTCCTCAAAAATTTATATAAAGATTCCTAAATTTTAGAATACATTTTTAATTCACTGTTTTATCTTCTCCAGATAATACCGTCCACGTAGTCATTAAGAAAAAACCACAAGGACGTTTGCATTGGCTGCGTACGCGCGTGTGTGACATAATGGACTTTAAAAAATCTTTTTCGATATTATTTTTCCTGGCCATCGTTGCACTGACGGCGGCCGTTAAGAAAAAGCCTACAGATGAACCGGTGGTGTCTCTCCAAGAAGGCATTGTTAAAGGGGCGTGGAAGCTTTCAACCAATGGCAGATATTACGCAAGCTTTGAAGGGATACCTTACGCTAAACCACCTTTGACAATCATGAGATTGCAGGTAAGTTACGTTTATCTGTCGTTATTCTAACAGGAAATTTTATATCCTCTCAAGGCCCAGTGTATGTCAAAATGTACATAATATATAAAATTATACAGACCAAGACAATATTATTTTTATGATCGCATAAACGACCACTACAATGAAAATATCATATTTTCCTTTATTTATTTTCTTGTTTATTTATTAACAACATTAACATTACGTTCACAACACATTTTTATCTTGTTTGACTTGGCAAGTGTTGACGGCAATCTCAAAACTACAATTGCAAACTAATATTTTTTTTGACAAATTGACTCCCATAAATAATTAAAATTAGATAGAGATACACTGTGAAATACTATAGGAACTTCATTAATATTTTTTTTTTAATAATTTTATTTTGAAGTAATCGATGTTATCACTAAATATATTTAAGTCAGGACTGCTAACATTTCTTTTGTTTATGTTTTACACATTCTTATGTTAGACGAGTGATATCGGCTTCTAGTACGATAATAGGAAACATGGAAAGTTTTACAGGGTTTTAGGGAATATTTATAGGCAATTGACATACGACGAGCTGAGATGACGTATTTAAATTTTGCGTTATATATTTTTTTAAATTGGTTTATTTATATACCGTAACAGGTATTTTAATGTAATGTAATCTCTTTCTGGCAACTTTAGGGCGACAAATGTATAATTATTAGAATAAAATAAGACTAAGTGATGGTACGAAATACCAGCATAGATAATACTAGATGTGCGATTATCATTTCTGTACTTCAAAGTAGCGAAATAAAACATTTTTCTAGGATTTTCATGGTTTTGCGCGAGGTAATTACCACGAACATAACGTACAAAGCAAAAATGGCTAAGTGAGCCCTAATATGTGGAACTTCGGGTACTGTTGACACCCGTGACACGTAAATAAAGCACTTCTACTCTATTTATTATTCTGTGACTCGTCCCAATGCGCCTTTCATTATTATGCAAATATACAAACCGCGCTGTTATTTTGTACGAAGTAACCCTACTTGTTTTATTCTGGTATGCTAATATAGCTACAAGTATATATGTAAAAATTATCGCTCAAGTTATCTGTAATTAATAAATAAAAAAATAAATAAATCAAAATCATTGACTTACAAATAAATGGACGACGGGTCTAATGCAAAAACCACGAAAAAAATGTCCCAAGTCAACCTATTTAAACGTAGTGTAAAGGAATATGAAAAAGCTAAAACGTTGAATTCTAATTGTAATGTCATCGCAGTACTGTCTAATTTTGCTTGCTTCGCTGTCAGTCGAACAAACGAAGACTAAAGCGTGAATGACGCTCTGTATACGATTTTAACGCCCTATAAGTTCGGACACTTTTTAGCGCGGACCCGACGTCCATATAATTCTAAGTCAATGATCAAAACCGAAAAATAATAAAACAATTCGTTTATAGGTAGTACGTTCCTTCAACCAATGATATTCGTATGCTCTGCAGAATCCGCAATTCGAAGACTTTGTATAATTCATTAATAATCTCAGTACAGAGTATTAAAAAAACCGACCTCAAAAGTTCGTGGAATTACACCTATTTGCCAAGTTTGATTGAAATCGGTTACCGGAAAGTGCGCAAAACCGGATTCACTCCCTAGTTTTACACACTAAGGGTCGTATTCTAGAACTCTACTCAATGCTCAAGTCAGGATCTGAGTATGATTTCAAGCACTGGAAATACGACCCTAATGGCAGGGACTTGAGTATGATTTCGACGAATTAGGATTTACGGCCCTTAGAGGGAGAATATTTTCTTCAATTTAAATGGGGTACCCTCAATACTGAGGTACTCCCTTTCCAACAAAAAAGAATCATCAAAATCGGTTCACAAATGCAGGAGTTATCGCGTAACATACATAAAAATAAATCACAGTCGAATTGAGAACGTCCGTCCAAATATTAACGCACACAACCACGCCAAAGGTCCGTCCATGTGTAGTTCTTAAAATAATGTACATTAGTTTTAATATTAATTAGGTTATATCATTATTTACTTGTCAAATGTTGTGCGTAGCTGTTATAGGAATGCATAATTTACTTATATTGTAATGCATGCTAACTTAAGGAACCATATAATTTGTATTCTGTAGTTATGCCAAAAATAAATAAATAAATAAATAAATAAACGTCCTCCTATTTTGAAGTCGGTTAAATTATTAAACCAAAACTGTCTTGCGTAGGTACTATATCTGGTTTTCAACTTTAGCGCTGTGACAACAATTTTCAAGGCAAACGAGGGTAATGACAATGTTTAAGCGATGCTATATACTTCTACTCCATTCAACCATTTATTTAACTTTTGACATGTGCATGCGTCCGAAGTTCATTTACACACAACAAATGATAGACAAAAATGCAATACTTCCTGGTCTTTTATTTTTTAAATTTTAGTGAAGCGTTGTGCTCTTTAGCTCCGATATCGAGCAAAAATTATTCAAGTTGTTAAATTTTGGTACCTGTCCAATAAATTATAATGAAATGCAACAAATTCTAAATAATTATAACAAATTCTTATTGTTTATTATGATGAGTCATCGGATTCTTCTCCATATGAGCGGAAATCATCACTTGAATCCTCATTAACATTAATTATTAATTCTTGAGCACACAAATTGTCAAACGCAACATCACGATCCCAATCAGACAATATCTTTTGTTTTAACCCGCGCACATACGTGGTGCCAAGTGACAGGGAGGACAAGTCGTGCGTTTTGTAGTAAGCGACACGCATGTCCATAGCAGTTGCAATGCCAATTAGAGCTTACAATGACCGGAGGGGGCGCAGCCACTGCACCCGTCACCCTGAGACTTAAATTCAAAACAGGCACATGGCCTGTTTTAAATTTTATAAGTAAAAGGCACTCTACAGCTACTAAAATGTACAATGTAAATGTCAAACGCATGGCGTGATGGTATATGATTGTCTTGTCCTTCTGTTGTTTTGTGCTTAGCCAACGTTTCAGCCTCAATTTTCTACAATAAGTACAACAACGTGCACAACAAAACAAAATTAAATTATGTAATAAAATAATTAAAAAAAAAACAAAAATATTAAATTACTACAGACTATATATATGTGTTTGTCTAAGTATATATATATATATATATATATATATATACTTATTATAAATTATTATATATATATATATATATATATATATATATATATACTTAGACAAACACATTTCATATTATATATAATATACAAGCTAAAAGATTCATGAACAAAACAGGTTGTGACACTTGTTGTTTTGTGAATAAATTAGGAAACTACACTTCAAAGCACATTAAAAACATCTACGTTAGGGTCCCTTGTGTCCCTTTCAATAACTCTTATGTTAGGCATTATTTATTTAATATGATTGCTTGCTTACTTAGTCTGTGTTACACATAAAAAGACTACTTTACTACGTCACAGTAATAAATAAAAATTTAAAAAGTGGGCAATTTCTCATTCATGGGAGCCGGTTCCACGTCGTCCTAATTTTAAGAAAAGAAGAAAAAATTAAATACTCGTAGAAATCGTAATATTTTTCATCGAGAATAAACTCTAACAACTTACACGTCGAATACATACCGTAACTTTCCAATTTATTACAAACAAATATGTTTTCTTGGGAATACAAAATGTGTTTCAATTTTTCTTATCATTAGTGTCAATTCAACTTAAAGCCTCCTATTAACAAAAGTTCATATCGCATCACCTTCACCCTTCGCACACGTGAGAAGGGGCTCCTGTCGGATTGGAGTGTACACAGGAAAGTAACCTGTGCATGTCCGTTTTAGCAAAAAATCGACTTAAATACCAATTCAGCGCTAGTGACTAAATCGTTCTCATTCATGTAAAACAAACTATCTAAATAAGTATTAAGTAATAGTTTTATAAACTTTATTGTACATCAATTAGACAAAGGGAACTATAAATCCATGCACTTTTATAACTATCCAGCATATTTTACACACTTGGCAATTAAAAATGTACCCAAATATCACTATTGTCGCTCTCATTCTTGTCTACTTTTAAGTCAAATAATTAGTTTAAGCCAAACATTTACTTGAATTGTAACAATTAGATGGTGATAGTGTTGGTGATGACGGTGGTGACGATGATGATGGTGGTGTTGATGACATTGATGTATAACAAAGTTTATATGACATTAACAAAATACTTATTTAGATATATTTATTAATTACATATAGATAGATAGATAGTCTTACACGGATGAGAAGGATTTTGATACAAGAAGCCATATTAAAATATTTGTTACATGTTAAATGTTCTTTTGTAAACGATAAAATGTGTGTTGTAATAATAATTTCTCATTACTGTGCCGTCTTTCTCATTTATGTTTATGAGAAAATCATTCATGTTACTGCAATCTCATTCGTGTGACCTAAAATATCGTTTCTTTTCTTGTATTTAACTTAAATATTTCTGTGATTTTATAATTATTGACATTGCTTGAACTTATTTGTACGTTTAAGACCTTAAAACCAAAAGAAAAAAGGGTTATACAAAAATCACACAAAAAGTGCCATTGAAATTCGGAAAGTGAAATTCACCCGTTAATCTTTCCTTTTTGATCACAAGTTCACAACATCTTATTACTACATTACTAGGGCCAAACATGGCGGATCTGACGCTCGTATATCTTTTATTTTTAGAGTCAATTGAATTACTTGTAATAAAATATGACAATGAAGTTATATTTATAACAATGATACGTTATTTTAATTGTATATTTTTATTTTACTTAATAATCATAAACATGTAAATTCACCTGGCATTACTCGAAATAGTAGGTAACTACGTAAGAACAATAGTTGTCAAATGCTGAAGTCAAAGAACGAAAATTTTACGAAAAATAGTTAATCTTATTTGATATATTAGGAGTGATGTACTTTAAGTATGTATTAAATATTTTAATAATTTGTTTTCACACTACACACGTATAACTGTATGTATATATTGCAAAGATTATGTAAGTATTTATTCGATATAGTAATACACACGATACACTCATAAGACATAAGTACTTACGTAGTTTATTTTGTTTTCTGTTTCGGGACGCATACGTCAGTCACTCTTACTCACTCAGCTAGGGCCCATTGAAAACCAGCGTCACAACCTAGTCTTGGTTGTGACTTTAGCTGAATGGGATCCTTTTGTATACGCCACAGCCGCACACATGTCAATATAGTATTATGTAACTTGTTGTTTAAATGTTTTTACGCTGTTTTTTGTGTTATTTCTGTTCTGGGTCTTGGTTTTTGTGTCTTTTTTTATAATGGGGCATTGCAATAAATGGTTTCTATTCTATTCTAATATCTATAAATTGGATGTTTTTTTCGTCACAAGTCGAAGGCTGAATCGTACTAGAAACTCAGATATTTGAAATTGAAAAATTTAATTTAATTTATTAGACGAACACAATAGTCGACATCCAAAATAGATTAACACATTAGTAATTTGTTTAAAACTAGATTTGAACCTAAATGCCAACCAGGAGCATGTACGTACAGCATGTTTAGTCATTATATGTGCGACACATTCTTGTTATGGGATTGTCAAAAGATGTGTTGTATTTAAAACATTTAGGACAAAAGCCTTTGGACGCCGAGGGTTGTATCTAATGTTAATATTAATACTAGCCAATAAATTAGCTGAATCGAGGTAAGAGTGTAAGATATTTCGACGGACACTGAGTGATACTAGGTTGCATTTAGATAGCCTGGTTTCGTAGGTAGGCATCTGACGACGACAATGACCCAATCTATAAAAGAGAGATCTGAGAGCCCCCTCTGTACATTTTCGATCTTATTGGAATGTACATGGTAGTAAGATGACCAAACCACTGTACCATACTACAGAACGCTTCTTACCAATGAGCTATAGAGATGGATGAAACTATACGGTTTCTTGAAAGCTTTAGTAGCAAGGTTCACAAAGCCCAATGTCTGGTAGGCCGTACCAACCATATGATCAAAGTGATTTCTGAAAGTTAATTTTTCGTCAAACAGTATACCGAGGTCTCTAACTACTTCCCGGCGTTGCAACACATGTCTTTTTAGAGATTATTCATGAGTTGCTTTATTACTTTTTCTGGTAAATGATATAACTAAGCACTTATCAACGTTCAGGTACATAAGGTTTGTTTGGGACTATGGAGTGAGAGTTTCAATGTCATTTTGAAGAAATCATTCTTAGGAAATAATTCATTCTCAACAGTGATAACACTGTTGTTAGAGATAGTGTTCAAAATTTTTAGATCATCTGCGTATAATAGACAGGGGCAACGAAGTTTTGCAATCAGGTCATTAACAAATATTATAAAAGTAAAGGCCCCAAATGGGAACCCTGAGGTACGCCAGAAGAAATAGTAACAGGTGGGGATAAGAACCCTTTAATACATACAAGTTGACTTCTGTTGTCAAGATAAGATCTTACCCAACGCAAAAGGTTACCATGAATACCAAACGATGTTAATTTCATACAAAGAAGGTTGTGATTTACTTTATCAAAGGCTTTTTTAAAATCTGTATATATTGAATCCACTTGACCCCCACGAGCGAAAACAGAATAGAGATAGTGCTTATATTCCAGTAAGTTACTAATTGTGGATTTGTTTCTGATGAAGCCATGTTGCTTGTCTGATATGAATGGCTTAACGTGTGAGTATACGTATTCATAAATAACACTCTCAAAAATTTTAGCTAGACTAGACAGAATGCTAATAGATCTATAGTTAGTACATAAAGAAGGATCGCCGGACTTTAAAACTGAGATAATAAAAATCGGTTCTCACTACTCAAAGTATATTTAGCGATAAAAACGCCTTGAATTGGAGAATAGCAAAATCAACCATTGAAATAATTGCTCCTTATAATAAAATTTAGGCGTTATTAATAAAAATGAACCTTCATGCGTGAACAGCCACCCTTAGAGGTGGACGATTTTCTTCAAAATTACTACCACTATGGAGGTTACCCTCTTTCCAACAAAAAAAATAATTATGAAAATCGGTGCACAAATACCGGAGTTATTGCGTAACAGACATACAAAAAAAACATACAGTCGAATTGAGACCTCCTCCTTTTTTTGAAATGGGTTAATGAGGTCTATCCGAAATAAATACAGAGCACAATAGAAAACATAGTGGATGACGCCAGTACAAACATGTAACTTTGTTATAGTTACACGTGCGTCTAATTAGACACAGATCACTTAACTTCGCTGTTTCTAACAACAGGTATCGAAAACTTAATTGCTTTAATCATATGCATCAATAGGTAATTTGCAAACGTTATAATAATTAGCTAGGTAAGTATTACTTCTACATAACCCTATATTCAGCAGTGGACGTCTTTAAGCTGAAATGATGATGTAGAATCCAAATTACCAGCTTACCCATTTAAATTCCAATTACGGAAGCAAGCGGTGGGCAGAGCTAACCTAAATGGGCATGGACAAAAAATGTTCTTTACACCTGCTATCATTCTATACTAACGTTCTATATCGAATTTGGCTTTAGTATAGGCGTGGAGAACTCTGAATCGATTCCTAGTGGGGCCAATTTGGGGTAGTTCGTAGATCATCAGCCTCGGGAGTAAATTTCGCTGCTCAGTGCTCTGGTACTTATAAGTACAGGGAAATTCCTACGTAGACACGAGGTAATTCCGTGGTTGTTTGGCACTACGAGTATTAGATAGTTAGACAAAACGTTTATTCAACACAAACACATATTAAACTAATGCTAACATTTACATGTAAGGATATTCAACGAGCTCCCGCCTATTATTAAAAACGAGGTAAAATACTCGTATTAACACTTTGTTAACAAATGAACATAATAAAATAATAAAGTACTACATAAAACTGTTTATATAAATAACAATTTATATAAGAATAAATTAAATTTAGTAGCAGAAGAGATCCTTCGCAGTACTGCCACCTTACTTATTTCTGCCGCCAAGAAGTAATGTCAGTATTACTGTGTTCCGGTTTTGAAAATACAGGCACATGGGACTTGTCAACTTAAGTCTCAGGGTGACGGGCGTGCCCCTCAGATCTTTGCGATTTAAAGAGCTGAGTGGCACTGCAACTGTTATGGACAGGCGTGTACCTTACCATCAGGCGCACGACTTGTTCATCCCGTCACTTGATATTATAAAAATTAATTAAATAATAAATAAACCTTGAATTACGTAATATTATTTAATGATACCAATGTACGAGTGATATATTACTTATTATGTAGTTGATAATGAAAAATTTTAGTGACTAATAATTTAAACTACGGCCTACCTCTGCTCTTTATCCCTAATAATAATAATAATATTTTTTTTATAAAAAAGTAAAAATTTCTAACAGCTTGAGGCGGTTGGATTTCTGTGGCGTGTCGCTTCCAGCACAAATGCAGAAGGCGGTCCTGCTCGATACGGCACGTATTGTTTGCCGGTTCTTGGACCTGAGTCCATGACCCCGGCCGACTGCGCCATTGCCGGGAAATACCGCCTCTCCCCTTTAAAAATTCAAAATTAATCTTTTAGGCCTTAGGAGAGGCGAGAGTCTAAAATAAATATAATAATAATAATAACGCACACACTTATAGCCCCACACGAGGGAAACCCTGTATCGCGGGTGCCTTGGATATACACATAAGACAACCACAAATTACACCCAAACTCACGAGAGGAATAAATGTGAATCATACTAATATTTCTCCCGGCCCGGGAATCGCATCTGGGACCTCTGCGTGGCAGTCCAGCATAATAACCGTTCGGTTCCAGGGCTCATATTATGTGTATATACATTTTTTTATGATCTTATGTGCCATATGAATACAATAAATATATTGAGTACACTAGAATATGTATGTTCAGTAGAATATGTAAGTTGAGAACAGTAATTTGTCCATATTCTTTAATTCATCGCCACCACATGTTTTAAAAAAGTTGCCACTCATAGCTTCAAAATACGTTATACTATATTATTCTACGTTACCATAAAAGTAACGTAGAACAATAACAAGTAAATGTAACTAGACTAGAAACTTGAACGCGTAAATTGATAACTCGTGTTACGTAGTATCACGTCTGTACTTTTTATACCGAATTACAAAAAAAGACAAAGAAGTGTGTGTTTTTTTAAGCTCGCAGACGCCATATTGTATTTAGTAAACTATTTATCTTATCATAATACAATTTGAAATATTTAAAATGAGGTAACGAAACTAGCGCTGTGATTGTTTTTTTTACACACAAAATGGATTTTTATGTGTATAATTCTTTGAACACATGAACGCTAACATAAATTTATGGATAGATTCTTTTTGATATTTTTTACATATATTTTGGAATTGTTTATGATTCCTGAGATAAAGCCGAATTTTTAATGTTTTTTTTAATAATATCAAATGACAGGACGAACAAGTGGGCCTGATGGTAAGCTACACCATTGTCCATAACAGTTGCAGTGCCACTCAGAGCCTTAAATCGCAAAAATCCGAGGGACACTGCCAATGCGCCTGTCATCCTGAGCCATAAGTTGATCAGTTCCATGGTCCTGTAATTTCACCAGCATTTCAAGCTTACTCACATTAACAATCTCACAAGTATAATAAATGTAGACGGACATAAACATACAAATATTTATTATCCTAATTTTTCTCCCGGCCCAACAATCAAACCTCTACGTGGCAGTCCAGTATGGTAACAGTTCGGCCACAGAGGCAGTTAAAGTTCCAGATATTGAACCTCCCTTGAATAATACTTTCAGGACCCGTGGCCCCCCCTTCCGTGGCAAGGAATATACGACGCGACGTACGCCCGCAATGTGTGCATGCAGTATAATCCCTTTCAGGACAAGGTCATCGGTAAGGTCTTAAAGGTCATCATCAACAAATACGTTCCATTGCTGGGGATGGTCTTCTTTAAGAAAAGGGTGTAAGCCTTTGTCTACCACCCTGGCCCAAGCGGTTTGGGGACATCTCGGTCATCGAAGTGTTATGAGTATACTGTATGAAAGATGTCATCAACCGTTACAATAGTACTTAAACAATCGAGATTTGACATTTTTTAATACACTCCCCGACACACAATTCAAGGCTCCTTGTATTTTTGTCATCGAAGAAAAAGGTATGGAAATAACGTTTTCACGTCACTTGCTCAGAAAGACTTTCTTTCTCACTACAAATCTGCGCGCAAAAGCATTTTTTCCACACTAGCGTGGAAAAAGTTTTTGAAATTCGAACTTGACGATGGTCTGTGGTGCACCTAACTTTTTCTTTTGATAAAAAACACGCAATGTCACGTTCAACTGCGCGATTTGTCGTACATTATCTCTGTAATGTAAATCCGTTGATATAATTTATACTTATTATTGACATGTTGACATTAAATTGACAACGATAACTAATTTGGTATTAAAACCATAAAACTAATATAGTGCAATTCTTTCATCTAAGTACCATTTTTCTCGATATTGTGAGGTGAAAAGTTCTGTTTCGCTAGGTAAGTTGTTTTGCGTCTACGCTCAGAATTCTGTTTTTGAATCTGAGGGTCGTATTCCGGAACTTTACTCAATGCTCAAGTCAGGACTTGAGTATTGCAGTGAGCACTGAAAATATTACTCAAGTCCTTGCCATTAAGGTCGTATTTCCGATGCTTGTGTTGCCAGTGCAATCCTGACTTGAGCATTGAATAGAGTTCTAGAATACGACCCTTAGGCCCCTTTGCTAATTCAGGTTTCAATACAAGCACTCGCTTCAAACAACAACTTTGCAGCCTTGCATAACAAATAACTATTCGTTTACCAATTTCAAAATCGCATAATAGGTTTTGATCAATCAAACATTTTTTAAATTCAGCACCACGCGTCTTTTCATTTGGTCAAGTATTGCTTATTTGGCAGTAACTGTTTCGGACGGATGTCGGACGGAAATCGAGAGTAGACCCCTCGTTCCAAATCCGAGGCTATACAAATCTAGAAAACTCGGACCCACTTCCGATATCGCTTGTAAACTAAGCCCAATTTGAGTCCGAGAAAATACAAATAACGCTTGTACACTTAGCTTTCTACACACCGAGCCCGCCGACCCGGCGACACAGCCTGAGATGGTGTCGGCAGCCTAGAAACATCTAGAATCATGTCAGGATTAGATTAGTCTGTGTCAGGCTGTGTCACCGGGTTGGCGCGCTCGGTGTGTAGAACTGACAGGAATCAGATGTATTGCTCAAACCATGTTAAGCACATATTACTTACGACTTAAGAGGGAGCAAAGGAAAAATTCCTAATCTTCGATTTGATTTTAGAGGGGTATATCCACTTTAAAGTTAAACATAAAATATTGTATGAGTAACTACACGATATATTCAAGCATAGACATTAATCAGAAACATAAAACAATAAAGTTTCCTCGATAGATAAATATCACGAAATGACCTCTAATTTTCACATTTTTTCGATTTATCCTCGAAATGCTACAGGTTATTAGGACAAAAATTAGATAATTAATTATATTTATGCGTGATCGACAACTGTCACTACGGATTTTTTAAATCCCTTTAGTTTTAGAGTTATTCCGCTAAAACGAATTTGGTACTTTTAATGCGCAAAATTCAACATCTCCTGTCGCATATCACGCGAACCTCAGGCATATATTTGTTTCACAAATTTGGGCGGAGCCAACGTCAAAACTTTTTTGGCATGCTCCCTCTTAAGTTTAACTACACGCATAGTATAGAGTTCTTAGGTTTTCGAGATTACTACATATTAGAAACGATACTACTTCTTATCGTATGAATGGCATGGACTATAATGCATTGCATTGTGGTGAAACGATATAGGAAATGAATGGTACGTCATGCGGGAAGGCTCTTTTCGTGCACCCCATTATTGTGATGCACAATGACACGATTTATTCCTAATCTAAAATCGCGTATGTTTGTTTTTTCCATCTTCCATCATTCCAAACAATCCAAATCAAGCAAAATACCAGCCGTGACCGTAAAAACTGTAAAGTGTGTGAAATGTTGGTTTGTTATAAAAAACGATTATAATAAGCGATTTGAGATCCAAAAAAAATTAACAGAACACCTCTGTTTCTAGTTATTTAAATGCACGTTCCTTATTATTGAGTATTTTTCCAATATTCCTGTAGGTCAAAGGTCATCAAACCTCAAAAAAGGTTGGAGGTACTCCAACTTCGAGTTTTTTCTTTCGCCTTTTTTAACGGTTTGGTACTAGTAATTTATTTATTTATTAATTCAGCAACAGCTTTACACACTTAACATTTAAAGATAAGTCGAGTGAAGAAAAACTTTCATAGATTTCCCACAGATGCCCCTACGACACGAAAATCTTTAAAAACAAACATGAGCAACAAGCACAATGAAAATTTGTAAGGTCAGCTGGTTTGTTCCATAAGTTCAGTTGACAGACCGTCAGGCGCGACAGGGACCGAAGGATTTTTTCCAAGTCTTCGATAAGAACACAAATACTAATGTGTAAGCCAATTATAGCCGAGCACATCATTCTCTTTATCACTTCCTTACACAACTGACAAACGTTAAAAAATAAACTGTTTAAAAATTATTACAAAACTATTAAAATCGTATTTAATCATTATGTCTGAACTTTGTCCTTATGACGAAGCTAACTGTCAAAATGTCTTTTTATTTTGACAGTTTGCACCTTCATAAGGAGTTATTCATCACTCTTGATCTTCCGGTCTTTCCCAGACATGGACTCGAGTAATTTTATTGTTTTCAATGCCACATACTAAGTGATGAACCAATCTTCTCTATTTATCTTCCAGGCTCCGAAGATTGCTTATTCGTGAACGTGTACACTCCACACGTCCGTGACTGCGCCAACATGCCTGTAATGGTGTTCATACACGGTGGCGCTTTCATGTTCGGTAGTGGAAGCAGCCACGGCCCACAAAACTTCATGGACTTTAACTTCGTCGTTGTCACTTTGAACTATAGATTGGGACCGCTAGGTTGGAAATTTAGTACTCTAAACATTTTTTTGTGACGAGACAGGGTCTTATACACCGAGTATATAACCCGAAACAGAGACGACATAAGGGCCATCCATACCTGGCAACACGTCAGGCAAATGGGCCTTATGTCACTTTTAAATATCAACTCTCGTTTGAACTGAAATTACAAATTAGAAAGCTGGAAAAGTACAGCGCCAACAACTGACCTATGTGTACATCTCCGTATATTCCAAAGATAGTCTGTATTTATTGTAATAAAGATAATATCTATAACAATGTGTGCACTTACATTTGGCGGTGTGGGAAAAAACAGTAAAACATCTAAACAAACGGAATCGCATTTCATCGGTAATTCAATATTAAATATGTAATTTTGTCCATCATAGCAAAGTTCAAGTTAAACTGGGCGATTTGAAGTGAAACAATTTACGACACCCGTCAATTCTTTCCAATTCGGGCTGTCCAATCGGAGCGCAGCTGTCACAGTAATGATTTGGCAGAATAGTTTTGAAACAAATTAAATGACATTTCGTCTCTATTTCTGGTTATTACTCGATGCTCTTACCACACGACTGTATGTTTTTTGTGTGTGTAGTTCGGTTCACATGAATCGCGTAGATTCATGTGAACCGATTTAGATGATTCTCTTTTTGTTGGAAAGAGTACCTCAGTATTGGTCCTATTTAAATTTGAAGAAAATATTCCACCTCTAAAGGACTAACCACACACATCATGGCCATGCCCGAGACGTGGACGGGTCGTGCTAATTTGTACTAGACGGTCATGTGCGAATATGTTCATACAAAATATACGCAACGACTTTTTTTGAGCCCCTGACGAAGCTCGGCCCGTCCACGTTCCAGGCACGGCCCTGATCTGTGTGATTAGTACTTTAAGGTGTCAAACTAGGAGATGAATCTGGCTTCGCGCACTTTCCTTTCGAAAACTTGGCAAAAAATGTAATTCCACGAGCTTTTGAGGTCGGTTCTTTTTATAAAAAATAATTTTTGTGTCATTTGTGGTAGTTAAATAAATCTGTTTCCTTTCTTTCATTATTTATGTAGGTATTTTGCTTTCTTACAGAAGAACTTCTATATTTCAGGTTTCCTGAGTACATACGACAATATAATAAGCGGCAACTTTGGACTTAAAGACCAATCGCTGGCACTTCGTTGGACACGCGATAACATCAAAACGTTCGGTGGGAATCCTGATACCGTCTTACTCTCGGGGAGCTCTGCAGGCGCAGCTTCCGTTCACTATCATTATCTTTCACCTTGGTCGAAAGGTAAGTGCCGAATTATGTACTTTTAAATATTAGTCGTGGAAGTATTACTAAAGAACACCCAAAAGGTTAATTAACAAAAGTTTTCCAATAACTGAAAAGGTACAACAATCAACAAATGGAAAATAATAAAGGTTCCGAAAAACTAAGAAATTGCAACAAAGGCTAATTGTAATACTATACTCCAAGGTGCGTGGTTCGATGACAGTTGCAAACCGCTGTTCAAAAGGCTAATATTACCTTTGCCATGCATGTACATTAGGGATATCTGTCAACTCATATCTATCTATCTGTCAACTCGTATTTGTCAACTCTCATCCTCAATATTTTAAAACACGCGGTGAAGTCATTCAAAGGCAAACTAGAGCAAAAATTTTGAATCTCTTATACCAACCTCGTTGCCATAAAGTAATTTATAAGAATAACTGCTTCAACTGGTGTATAATTATTTACAATAAATTACCAAACGAAATTAAATTGTTAGAAGGACATACTTTTAAATTAAAATTGACAAAATGGCTTTTGACACATTGCTTCTATAGTAATAAAGAATACTTAGAATTTACAAATTCATTACATTAATTAGAAACTATAGAGACTAAAGAAACATTGAATCCATTAACATTTGCACATCTGCTTGCAGGTTGAATACAATGTACCTAATTTTACTTGAGACCTTTGCAATTACTGTATTCTGGCAAATAAACGTATTCTATTCTATTCTATTCTCAACCATTTAATTAACTTTTAACATATGCATGCCTCCGGAATTCCGTAGTTATTGACATACAAGCATAGAAACAAAAATGCAATACTTCCTGGATTATAAAACTTCTGCGTAAATAAAATCGATTGTTATAAAAAATAGAATCGCAAATGCATTACGACATCACTAATGGATTAGAATTCAAACTGTTTGCATATTGAATTTAACAGAAAAAGATTTAATTAAATTTTTATTGAATTGATATATATATACAAAAAATAATTGTATTTTTTGTGAAATTACTCCACTAGTTTAAAAGTTAACTAAATCGTTGGACGGAGTATAACGGTCAGTGAGCATAAATAATACTAGAGACACAATGTCCTACAAACAATTGTCTAAAATGTGACACCACTTTGCAAATTTAAACACTAGCTTTGAAACCGATTAAAATTTTATGTATTTGTCTCGTTTTTTCTTATGTGAAACTTATTATGTTAAAAATGAAATAATCTTATTGTATTTATGGGACACGACCATTGTTACCGGTTTAGAAAAAATTTTCCCTAATTTCTTGTAGCCTCACTGGTCGATAAAGATAGGAATCAGAAATGGAATGAACGAGTACGTAAAATGTACGTGAAAATGTTTGAACTTGAGCGTTCACGATAGGAATTCATAGTACATTCAAATAAATTTTAAATTGAAGGGATGACTTTTAATATAAGGAATTCATTGTTGATCCTAGTTATGTTTTTAGAATAAAACGGTCTTCCGACAAAGTATCTGTTTCTATTAAGGGTGACACCACACAAGCATAATTTTGTGAGTTGTGAGTTGCGTGTTTTGAGTTGCGCAGTTTGCGCTCGACCGAAATTCGGTTGGAGCGCCAGACGAACGTATTTTATTCAGTTGTTTTTTAAGCGCTTATATCAAAGTGACCCCTTCTCTCACCCCTACTACCACTCATGCCAGCCCGTCACAAGATGCGGCCGAAAGTCAGTGGTCATTACGCCCGTGAATCGGCAAATAACTCATTTTGCGTCGTCGTGTGAGACAAACCGTACTTTTATTTGAAACCGAATGCAGCTCAAACTACGCAACTCAAACTACGCAACTCACAACTCACAAAATTACGCTCGTGTGGCCTCACCCTTAACAGAAACAGATATTTTGTTGGAAGACCGTTTTATTCTAACTTTATCGAATTATAAAAAAAAACATAACTAGGATCAACAATGAATTCCTTATATTAAAAGTCTCACACTTAACGGATACAAATTTGAAAAGGGTACATATTACAAATGTCTGCTACAAACACAACAAAATAAATAAAATACAAAAAAGTTTCTTACTCTCTACAAAGGTAAAGTACAAAAGTTTTGGTACAATAACATAATATTAAAAATATTCCTTTGAGAGAGCTGGAGTTTGCACTAGGGAAAAACAAGTGTTGGGAATCTCCAAAAGTATAGGTACTTTGAAAAACAAAATACAAAGATACGACAACAAGCACATACAAAAATTCGTGAGGTCCGCTGGTTCGTTCTGTGGATTAGTTGGCATAGCGTCTAGCACGGTTTGCTAGAAGACGTCGGCTCGAATCCGGCCAGATCGAAGGGATTTTTTCTAAGTGTTTGATCTTTGCATAACTAATAACAAACTAATGGAGTAATTTTACAAAAAAATTATTGAATATCAATTCAATAAAAATTTAAATATGGGTACTTTATTACAAATAATTAAACGCCACTGTGCAGCGTCAACTTATTGTACATTTATCTTTTATTTTGTATTTTGTTGCTCAAAGTGAACATTTTACTTTCGTGATATAATCTTATTTTTATATATTTTCGAACAATCGCTTACCCAACCAATAAAATAGAATGATCTATTTACAATCAAGAAAGGTGTTCCACTGCGTGAAATGCAGGTTCTCTTATCGAAGAATTGGCTTGAAGTATTTCCGGAGTTCTTGTTGCTAATATTTAGGGTGTAAAGACTTGGCACCTGAGACGGTAATAGCCAGTCTAATCACGGCTTCTCAAGTTAAACAAATATCAAAAACCTGTTGCGTTGGTTAGCAAAGACCGCCTTTGTCCTTAATAGTAATTAGCTTGTGAAGCCACAGAATTTCAGTAGCTAGCAAAGCTTTTATACATAGCTCACATTTAAACTCACCTCCCAACCTTACAACAACATAACCTACCATGAGGCTATTATTTATATCAATATTTTGTTGCTCAACCCATTCTTTCACCAGATTAGCTTCACCCGTAATTATTTCTACAACGTCTTCATTTTGTCGAAAGCCAATCGTATACACGTTTATTTCTTCAAAATTTTCAGGCGTACATGTCAAAATATTGAGTTTTTCAAGCGGCACACAGTTACCTGTGAACGCTGATTTCAATTCTAAGTGGTTTAACATTTTTTTGTAGGCCGATTTAAATTGTAACACATTGGGATTGTTATTATTTCATCCTTTTTGTCTTATGCACCCGAATATTTAAGATGATCTTGAGAGAGCCTATATATGTATAATAGGTCGAAATATATTCGACTAATTGAACAAACAAAATTTTTATACATTCCAAACAAATCAATAACCCCAAAAACCCAATTTTAAAACTTAGAAGCAAGAACTGGTTTAAATTCTGTTTTTATCGTTATAATCGGCAAGGTGTCTTCGTTTAAATGTTTTTTTTTTGTTCGAATTTTTACTTTGAGGGTACTGATATAGTCCTTGTAATCTTCAATCAATTTGAATACTTCGTCTTTGTTGTTTAAATTCAGTGTCTTTTTAAATCCCATATGCCTTAGGATCTCTCGACTTTAAAACGTCAAACATATCATTGTACAACTTTATAAAATGAATGGTAGGTTCACTATCAGTAAATTCTGGCAACAAGTCTTTGCAAGCTTGTAATGATTGTGCGAAACTATTACTCAAAAGTTTCGGGGAAAATTTAACTTTCATTGTCTGCTGGCCAAAATTTATGTGACGGCTGGTCAGTTTGTTACCTGTACGTAGCCCCAACTTCTTGGATTCTTGTAGACTTTTTACATACTTCCAATTGACTTCTTTACTATTCGTGTCAATAAAGACTTGTTTAGCCACGAAACTGTTTCTAACCAACTTCAACATGTGGCATGCATCTAATATCAACACTGCATCACTTACAGCGGTATGGTACTTAAATGTGGTTTTTAATTTTTTGGGATCGTCGAGTTCGCAACCCAAAATTCTCATTGCAGCTAAGTTGGTCTGACAGCCATCACATGTGACTGAAACAATATCAATATTGGCTTTAGTACTTTTTTGCAATGCCATATTTATTAAGGTCAGTTTTGCTCCAGTGAGACCATGACTAAAAAAATATCCTATTGGAAGCTTCCACGTCTGGTTTAAGCACATCAGTAGCAATATTAATGCTGAGGAAGCCAAACTTTGGCAATCATTTTTTTCATCTAACCATAGTCAACAAAGCCATGATGCTTTTTTCCGTCAAAAAGCTTTTGTTGTCGAATAGCCCTTTCGTCAATCACAAAGCTGCAGACAATTCTTGATTTTAAATTATCGCTTTTTATTTTTAGAACTTTAAATGCCTCTGCTGTAAAACCCAGCTCCCCGTCAATCTTGTTATAACAATTTAGGAGCGTTCAAAATTCCCTAAGCATAACGGTTTTATTGTGAATCGGTTTTCAAGATTTTGAAAATTTGACTTTCCCTAATGCGGGGCAATGTTGAGTGTGTGCGTTATTATAATTATTATTATTAATTAGTACCTAAGTGTTAGTGTAAGTGTTTTGGAAAGCGTTTCTCTTGCGCAATCAATATCGCGCATTTTGATTTTGTTATTATCTCACAACGGCAAATACCCTACTACCGTCATAGCCGTACTTTTTCATGCACAAGAAACATTTGGAAGAACTATAATCGTACGATCGTACTATGTCTGTTGACGGAATCATCAAACAATTTACTTTTCTACTTCCGAAAGAAATACTAACTTTCCGATGAATCTCCTATGGTGTCACTCATAATAGTATTTCTGTATAATAATTTGCCAAGCACCAAAATTTATGAAATATGTGAGGTCGCTTTTAAATCGCCGTAGAGCCTTGAACACCGCTGTAAAGTTGCCTACTTATCGGTATTCTACAGGATAAATCACGGAGAGTGTGTGACGGACTTGCATTTCCCATCATTGGGGATCTAGACGTGAGCTGGGGTTCATATGTTGTGGATTCGCACGAAGCGTTAAGCTAGCGACTGGAATTCCCTGCCTGCGGTCTTGTTCCTCGAACGTTATAACTTGAACCTTTTCAAGGCGAGAGTGAATAGGCATTATTTAGGTGCATGCTACATCGTCGATCTCACTGTCACTTGTAATCAGGTGAGATGGAGGTCAAATGCGCACTTATTATTTATAAAATAAAAAAGTTGTAATTGGTATTTTACGACAAAAATGGCTAACAATTCAATACTAGCAATAGATTTCGGTAAAATGTAAAATAAACTGGTGGAGTAGTATACCGTCAGAGAGTTTTAGGAACTTTCAATAGTTCATTAGGTTGTTTTTGGTGGCTAAGTAGGTAGTGCAGTAAATTTTCATATTTTGAATAAGCTCACTTTTTGTTTACTTTTCGGAGTTTTTATTACTATCCTCAACAAATTAACTCATTCAAAAACTCTGTTTCCAGGATTGTTCTCTAGTGGATTTCAAGCCAGTGGAACGGCTTTTAGTTCTTGGGCTCACCAGACCAAACCTTTGGAGAAGGCAAAGGAACTTGCTGATGTGGTGAAATGTCCGTACATTACTAGCAAGGAACTTCTGCAATGCCTGCAAGAGATTCCAGGAGAAGATATCGTGATGGCGCAAATTGATGTGACAAAAAAACAGACGGTACCGTACTTATCGCCAATTTACATTCCTGTATAAATTCGGGCAACTAAGGCCTCATTCAGAGTGACGACGAGAGCGGGTGCGGACGCAGATGCGTCTAAGTCAAATACGTAGTAGTACGTAGACGCTTGTAGCGTTCACAGTGGCCGCGCGTGCCGGCACCTGTATCTCTTGACTCGGTCCGCCCGTGCCTTTCACAGTGCTTGATCTAGCGTCTAACGTCTGTTTGCGGTTTCGACGTGTGAATCTACCCGCTAGTAGCCGCGCTGTGAAAGGGAAGACGCCAAGACCCACTCTGAATGAGCGCTAAGAACGATGCCACACAGGCGTTGCGTCGTTGTTACGTCTCGTCGCAACAATATGATTTGAACACACCGAGTGCCACACGAGTGATCACACAGTATCGCAACCTAACGCCGGTTACTGTCGCAACGCAGCACCCCTCCCGCTTCGTCTCCTGGTCGCCGCGTGCCGTTACGAGGCACCGTGTGGCATGTCGTTCTGGTTTATATGTAGTACGACGCAGCGTCAGCGTCACAGCTCAGACGTCGCAACGTCGACAAAAGTCGCAAAGTCCCCTGAGTTGTAATTAGCTAGGATCCTAATTATAAACAAGCGAATCAATATACTTCGCCGAGAACAAATCGAAATATAAGTGGTTGCCAACTTCAAGTTTCTTGAAACTTATATACACAAATATATAACAAACAGTCGTACAAATCTACAATATCGACAATAACAAGAAACTGGTGAATTTTCGCGAGAAATATATGAAACATTATATATAACTATAGAGATTCGTAAGGTGTGCTGACTTGTTTCGAAACTCAGGTGGGAGAGCGATAGCCTCGGTATGGCAATGTCGCCGGTTCGTGTTCAGCCTAAGGAATATTTCTTTGTGTCCAGTCGGAGGAATTTTTCTTTATGATTGTTCGATTTTTGTATTAATAATGATTAACCAGATTCTTTCCCAACGCCAGGGCTGGAGACCATTCCTGTTTACTGCGTTTGTTCCATCGATAGAAGCGCCCTCCGTGAAGAAACCCTTCCTTAACAACTACCCACACGTATTGACGACGGCTGGAGCAATGCATAGACTGCCTCTAATTGCCAGCATCACAGCTCAAGAGGGCTTATACCCTGCCGCGAGTAAGAATTCTCTAATTGTTTTATTTTAGGTATAATATTGATAAATACCCTGAAACTTATGGGATACTTCAGAAAAGTCATAAAAGCATATAGTTCTGCCAGGGGTCCGGATTAAACCGAACATTGATAGGCTTTTTGGATCCGTATCTGGCCAAATTAGGCGGTGTCCGGCTTTTGTTAGGCTTTTTATATCTAAATTTTGTTTTGTTTGATTTAGGTTTCCAATAAGACAGATTTATTCTATTTTATTGTTATATCATATGTAGGGATGATTCGATACAAGTAAATACGAGTAAGTACTCGATATTTTTGTTTCGATACCGAGTACTTTTAGTATCGAATCTCTTCTTTCGATTTTTACTGGGTATCGGAAGAAGAATACTGGTATCGAATTGAAACGTGCACGCGTAAATATTTAAACCCTAATCCCACTTCTCAGGAAAAGACCATCTTTTTTCCAAATTATTTTCCTTTCCATTTTCACCGTTTTTCACAAAGAGAAATGGCGGGTTCTTATGTAGTTTTGTGGGTTTTTGTGTTACAGTTTTTATATAAATTATCGTTTACTTTTGGACAAATTTATGACAAATTCGCAGTAATAATCGATTATCAAAATATCGGATCGATTAGCGGATTTAAGTATCGATTGTATCAATTTAGCTATTATACTTTAAAAAAAGAAAAAAAAACATTTATTTGTTTAATTGTGCAGTGCGTGCTTGTTAAAAGAGTATTACTTTTTTGTTATTATGGCGCCGCTAAAATTTAAAGTATTTTATGTCTCCTAAAAAAGTATCGATCTGAGTAAGTATCGATATTATGAAGTGCTCATATGGTTAGTATCGCTGGACGAATTGATTACTACTCATTTGAGTAGGTATCGATACTTTGGTGGTATCGGAACATCCTTAGTCATTTGTAAACGTCAGATCATAATTCTCGCCATGTTTTCCTTTACTATAATTTGCTGTCTGAAGAAAAACGTTTACTCTCGTACTTCTTTATTTATAGTTTTTCTAATTGTAAGGATTATTCTCGGAACCAAAACTCCCATTTTGCTGTGAACACTTTGATAGCGCGTTTTAATTCGATTGCCACGCCATCTATAGGTGTTAATCCGAACTGAATATGTGCTCGTTGTCACTTAGTATAAGGGTTTGTTACTACGTTGTGTTATAAGTGTACATTTATTAATGATTTCAGCATTCATTACGGACCCTAAATGTCTTGATGACCTAGAGCGTCGCTGGAACACTCTGGCGAGTTATATTTTTGTTTATAACGACACTCTGCCCAAGGAGCGCTTAGTTGAGGTTGCACAGAAAATCAAGCAGGAGTACTTCGAAAGTTGGCCTGTTCATAAGGAGACCTTTCACCTGCTGATTGAAGTAAGCTAAAATTTGTAATTCAACCTACCACAAAATAAAAAAATATATAGGAACAGTACGTCACAGTGTTCCTTTATGTACTCATAAATATCTAAAGAAGATTGCTAATCACGATACAAGATAATGTAGTTGGGTATTTATTACCTATTACATAGGGCGCACTATAAGTTTCCGGAACTGGCCACTTACATAAACAATATTTTAAAAGTAATTACCACATTTGAAAATGGAACTCTTTGGCTGTAGAAGTCATTTTAAAAATGGGTTGTCTACATCACCATGGATTTAACTCGTGAAAATTTTCGTAGTATGATTTTCTACGACTTTAAGTGTAAATTAAAAGCTCAGCGGAGCTTCGCTCGGCTTCAAACTGCTATTGACGATGAAGCACCATGCAATACGGCTATTTATAGCTGGTTTGCAGAATTCAAACGCGGTAGTGTGAATCTCAGTGACGAATTTCGTGATGGTCGCCCGTCCACTGCTGTGAACAACAAAAACATCGATGCTGTGCGCCGTATGATCAAAACAGATAGGCATGTGATATACCATGAGATTTGGGCATCTTTAGGCATAGGCATGAGTCAAATACAATCAATGCTACACAAACATTGTGGTGTGAAAAAGCTGTGCTCTCGGTGGAACCCACACAATTTGACTGAGGTTCAATAAACGGATCGCGTCACTTGGTGCAATGCCATGCTTACCAGATTCAACGAAGGAGCGTCAAATTTGATGTGGAACATAGTAACAGGTGACGAAACATGGATTTATATTTACGATCCCAAAACAAATCGGCAATCGAGCGTATGGGTCTTTCGAGATGAGCCGAAACCAACCAAAGCGGCGCGCGTGCAAAATGCCTCTAAACGGATGATTGCTTCTTTTTTTAATAAAACTCGACACGTGGCTACTGTTGCTTTGGAGAATCGTTGTACCCTGAATAGTGATTGGTACACGACCATTTGTATGCCGGAAGTTATTGACAAACTCCGGAAAAATAATCGCAAACGCTGTATCATCTTGCACCACGATAATGCCAGTGCTCACACGGCCAGACTGACAAATGAATTTTTGAAGGTGAATAACGTTGACTTTATGAGACATCCCGCGTACAGTCCCGACCTGGCACCTTGTGACTTTTATTTATTCCCAAAAATTAAGAACCAGTTACGCGGTCAACGATTTTCATCACCTGAAGAGGCTGTCGAAGAGTATGAAAAATATGTTTCAGAGATTGTCACGGGGGAGTGACATAAATGTTTTCAAAATTGGTTCATTCGTATGAAAAAGTCCATTAACGCCAACGGAGAATATTTTGAGAAACAATAAATTTATTTCTGACCATTTATAGTATTTTTTTCTTATTCATTCCGGAAACTTAAAGAGCGCCTCACGTAGTACACCAGATGTAGCGACGAGTGCCAAATAGCTATTTTTGTTACAAATGTAATACAAAAATTTGTAAGTTTTTGATTATTTGTTTATTTATTCATTATTGTTGCATGTACAATTTGTGTAAAATTCATCTTAATAACTATCACAGTGACAGTACACGGACCCTGTTCGGACATTGCAATTTAATATTTGAATTTATAGTAATTTATATTACTTATTTACAAGACATTGAGTAGGTAATGGGTACATGATTTAAACATTAAAATAAATAGATAAGAACAATTCAACATTAATTCTTGGTCATCATACTTAATTAGCAATTTTATTTTCATTTGCATAGATTAGATCGTAAAGTAGTCATTAATAATTTAAATCGGTGTCTTTATCATTGAAAAATTCATTTACTGAGTAATAACATTTTTCTATAAGGAATTCTTTAGTTTAGTAAAGAAAAAAAAATTCTTTTCGTTCATCTTTAACGCGCAGAGGTATTTGATTATATATTTTAACTGCTCTATAGTACGGGCTATTTCTAAATAATTTCATCTTGTAGGAAATGAAACTATTTTTCCGGATTTAAATCGCGTATATTTGTTTTTTCAAACAAACCGACGTTTCGGGCCCTTTACAGGTCCCATGGTCACGGTTAATATAGCGTAAATTGCAATATTTTCTTTGTAAAATTAAAAATAAAGTATTTAATTAATAACTATTGTAACTATAGTGGAAAAAATAGGGTGGTTTGCATCAATATTAGACATAACTGGTTGAAGACCGTACCACCTCAGTCAACCGTGACCATGGGACCTGTAAAGGTCCCGAAACGTCGGTTTGTTTGAAAAAACAAATATACGCGATTTAAATCCGGGAAAATAGTTTCATTTCCTATGTGTAAGAATCGCGAAAACCTAAGAACTCGATAATTCCATCTTGGTTTCGGAAGTATCAATACGTCGTTGCGACGAGAACTTGGTGTGAATTTAAAATCGGCTAAATTACGTCTCACAAACTTTACAACGTGAATGTATGTAAGCAGGGAAGGGTCAAAAGTTTGTTCTTTTTGGAAGATGGTTTGCAACTGATTCTTGGGCCTATATTAACTAGAATACGCAGACGCTTCTTTTGCAAGATAAATACATCATTTGCCTCCGTGCTATGGCCCCACAGCATAACACCGTACCGCAACCGTGAGTGAGCGTATGCGTAGTAGGCGGGTGCTGCTTTAAAATCAGAATTAGATTTTAGAACGGCTAGTGCAAATGTGAATTAATTATTCTGAATATTTTAGGGAACATAGGTACTCGTGCATTTTTGATTTGGTGAGCAGGACGAAATTAGCTTGTAGTGCTTACATCCGCCAATAACAGGGGCCCTTCATAAATGACGTATTTAACATTGCAAACAGCGCGAAATTTAAATGTAAGCCTTAGGGTGGCCATACACGGACTGCTCAAGCAATTAGCCAATGATCAACATACACGTACCGCTCTTGCAGTACAAGAAGAATTGAGAAGAAGATTTTAAGAAGATTGTAGTCTGCTATGCGGTCGTATGGCCGGGCTTACACGAATATGAAAACCGCACAACTTTAATACGACGCTTTTTTTATTTGAAACCATTACAGGCTCTCAGTGACCGCCTGTTCAATGCAGACATAGCAAAACAGGCGCAACTACATGCGTTGAAGTCCGGCCAGCTTGTATTCTTCTACAAGTACACGTATCGTGGATCTATTAGCATTAGCAACGACATGGCCCAAAACAAGGAGAACTACGGTAAGTTCACCACGATCATCGTAATCTTTGTCCATAACAAGTTTACGTATAAGTAATTTCTAACACAACTTCAAAAACTTGTCCCCATGGCCCGATTTCTTCAGTCCCGCAAATTACTATAGAAAATGATAGTCAATAATAAGCTGATGGAACGTGTGCCGGTTGTCTGGTTTCATCTCACTACTACGCATGGGTCAGCTCTAAGTAGAGGGTTTATCCAATGCCGCCACACTGGCCTGGTATGTGCGAGTGTGTGTAGCGGCGCTGTGAAACGGTGTGATGGTTACCACCAAAGCTGTGCGAGGTAGCTAGGCGGTACGAGGACGCGTAACGAAGCCGTGAAACGGGATGTAGCTGAGTGGTCCGCTACTCATCCTCGTAGGATGAGACACTCTTCTCGGTCATTCTCGGATATTGAGTATTGTACCGTCAAATATATTTAATAATTACACGATAAATACTTGAATATTTAAATAATTAAAATTGCAACGGGAATTAGGTAGTGAACCTAAGTCCGAGTTCGTTGAGCTGTGCGCGGGTGGGGTGCGATAAAGTGAGCGAAGGCGACTGCGAGCGCACAGCCCGTCACTCGCGTTTCACTTTTCGTAACTGGTCTCTAGTTTACATGGCACTTTTTTTAACCAACTTGTTATTTTCATGAAGAAAAATCTTTGTGAAATTATCCTGTGTGCAGCACGACATAACACGTAAACTATTACTTCTCCCGCACCGCGCAGCCACCTCAGGAACCAACTCAGTTAAGCGGTAGGCCTGTAGATGCAAAACTAATTGAATATGAAAGCAAGATCTCAGTTCAGAGACATCTGTTCCACCATTTATTTTTGCCATTAACTGCCTCCGTGGCCGAACACTTACCGGACTGCTACGCAGAGGTCCCAGGTTCGATTCCCGGGCCGGGAGAAATATTCATATGGCCTACATTTATTTCTCTCGTGAGTTTGGGTGTAATTTGTGTTTGTCAATGTGTGTGTCCATGGCACCCGCGACAGGGTTTCCCTAGTGCGGGGTTATGTTGAGTGTGTACGTTATTGGGCGTCCACTCTGGTTTGTATACCACGAATTATGTTTTTAACCTCATCATGGGTTGCAGGGGTCGCTCACGCAGATGACATATTCAATATATTCAAGTTCCAACTCGCGCCCTTTAGCACCAGTACTGACAAGAAGATGGCGTACAATCTTATTGACATCCTGTACAACTTTGCAACTACTGGGTAATATAGTTGTGATCTCTCTTTTTTTGCCAAATAAAATAAGTTCATAATAAAATAAGTTCATAATCCCCTGACGTATTTATCAAGAAACATGGAGAGTAAATTTCATTGAAATATCTGTAATAACAATCCAATTTAACTGATTTTTAGATGAACGCAGTCAAAAAGCTAAAATTTTGCGGGAAAAGTTCTTTATCAAGGGAAGTCTAGTAAATCGTGTTTCAAGCTCAATAATTCGCTACCGATAGCTTCTATTTTCATTATCAATAAAAAAAAACAAGTTTAGGAGCCTATGCACACAGCTTATTTTATACGCGACAACGACGTGCGTTTACGGCGCCGTATAAAATACTCCGTGTCCATAGGCCCTAATTCGTATTTTTTAACATCGAAAAATCGAAGATCGTGATCGAAGTACGTCAAAACTTCTCTCTTCTCAAGTCACTTCACCTTAAAGTTTGCACTGTCCCACTGCGAGCAAATGCCTTCTCTATCTACTTCCATTGTTATATTGATCCAGTGCCCCATAAAATGTAACTATTAAGTACCTCTCTGGCCGAACGGTTACCATCCATGCTGAATTTGATACCAATCGGAATCGATCAGATCAGGTAGCCCATCCGAGTCACGAAATCAGATGGGTTTCCGAACGAAAAGATGAACCTAATTCCTACTATATCTTTCTAATTTGTGAGTTAAATCAGCTATTGGTCCGATTTGAAATGTCAGGGTTCCCGATCGGCCAACTGTGAATCGCAATTATGCGCCTCGACTTGGAAGAGACGCAGTTTCCGATTGGTGGAGGCAATCAAAATCAAGCTGCTGGTCGGCCACGCAGATATACATCCGTATGTCCACGGCACCCGCGATATAGGGTTTCCCTAGTGCGGGGCTATAAGTGTGGGTTTTATTATTATTCTGTACAGCCCTTTATATAATTATGTGTAGTCGTACATAATATTATAATAATATGTCTAGAAACTACCACAACAATTACTCGTTGCCAAAGCAGAGAAGTACTGTACTATGATTATCAGAGCAACGGAATTTGCTCTGAGACATTGCCAGAACACGTAGACAAGAACCAATGTGGTAAAGTACATTTCTAAAATTGGATTTACAGGGAATCGGATTTGGGACCCCTTCAGCCAGTGAGGACTTCGAAGCATCGAGTATATGTATAACCAGTAATAGAAAACCATTCTGCCAAACCATTCCGGTGACAACTGCTCTCCGATTGGCCAGCCCAAATTCGAAACAATTGACGGGTGTCGTCAACTGTTTCACTTCAAATCGACCAGTTTAACTTGAGCTTTGCTATAGTGGACGAAAATTGAAAAATTAAATATTTAATTACCGATGAAATGTAATTCCGTTAGTTTTGTAATTAGATGATTTGTTGCTTTTCCCACATCACCGAATGGAATAGCTCCCATAGTTAGAGATATTGTCTTTATTACTTTATTACAATAAATATAGAATATTTTTGGAATATACGAAGATGTACACACGTGTTACTTGTTAGCGGTGTACTATTCAGGATTCTAATTTGTGATTTCAGTGCAAACGAGAGTTGATATTTAAAAGTGATATAAGACCCATTTGTCTGACGAGATGCCTGGGATTGATGGCCCTTATTTCGTCTCTATTTCTGGTTATATACTCGATGCTTCGAAGGCGCAGATGACTTGATGATCAATTTTTTATTTAACTTTACATTGCAGGGTGCCAAAGTTGAAAAAGGGTATATGGCAACCACTGAATGCTTGCTCGTGCCCTGAAATAAGGTACCTGGAAATTGCCTCGCCTACAGACATGAAAATGAAAGTAGAATCTAATTTCGGAAGGCACAGCTTCTGGCACAACATTGGCTTCCTGGAATACGACCTCTTCAAGCTCCCAAAACCACCAGGAAAAGATGAACTGTAGTTTAAATCTTCGTTAACGGCATACATATCTAACCGTTGAAGAGGCAATTGGCGACATATGTCACTCTCTGAACCAAGAAAAAATTCTAAGTTAAATAAGTCACAGGGATTCATAAACATTGAGGCTTTTAAGTCATGTCTAATGTAAAGACCAACTCTAACACCAACAATTCATCTTACAGGCAAAGGGCAATAGAGCTACTGCAACTGTAGCTGAGTAACTTTATGTAGATTAAGTAGGTTTCAAATCAGGCTGCAGTGAGAAAACGACTCCAATATTAAGCCCTTAAGTGTTTTTTACGTTTTGAATCCCATCTAAACTCTTCCAAAGAATACTCATAATAATACAGAAGGTATAATAATACTATACCGTCAGTACGCGGCTTATTCGATATTACTACCGAGTACTCCATTTCGTACCTCGCTTTTTATTATTTTATTCAAAATAAACAAAAAGGCGTAAAATAGTTGATACAAAACGTCTGTTAAAACAAATAAACCTGGGTTCCAAACTCTACAACTATAATTCACATCCACAAACATAAACAAGAGTTACCTTTTCGGTGTTCACAACTACCTATATTTAAATTCTTAATCCACAGGTACAAGGCACAAATTTACTAGATCATACATTGACATTCCCAAACATTATACTGTATAACGGTATAATTTTTTTCTTGACATCTTTCAGCAATCTTCGGGTTTCACCTATCGTCGGGTTTCTTGCCGATTCGACTTGGAAGTAAACAGAGAAAGTAGTCTTTATTTTGGTTATATGTTTTTATTATGTACTAGCTGGGGCCCGCGACTTCGTCTGCGTAGATCACAGAATAATAAATACAGTTGCAGTGGTTAATCCTATTGTAACTACAAGTCTCGAAAGACCTATCAGAGCTCATTCCGCTATTGTCGCTTTGTGTGGTATAGTAGTGTCATTCGTTCGTGCAAATTATCTAGAACATTTCATAGAAAAAATCCTTATTGTGCTGTTTTGTGTGCAAAAACAATAGTTGCACCAAAAATATTTCCCGTGGTGGTATTTCATATCATCGGAAAGACTTATTTTAATCAATTTTCAAATTTCTATTTGTCGAAATTATAAAAATTAAAAGAAGAAGTAAAATTCGGAACCCCGAAGATTGCCAAGAGATACAAAGTTATCGTACTGTAATATTAAAAAACATATTTCTAATTTATTTGTAAAACTATGTAGTAATAACCTGAAAATATCAATATTAATTAAGTTAAAGCATTTGTTGTAACTACAAAGGTACATAAATTAAAAAACGTATACAAACTTAAACTCGCTAGATAATAAATGTATGCCGTTAAGTTCACCAGTTTTTTTTTTTAAATCTTGTGTTGGGCTATAAACTTTCATGCGAAATTGAATGTTACTTTTTTTTGATATAAATATTTTTACTTGTTTTGTTTTGTTATCCCTTTTTAATATCAAATCATTTGAAAAATGTTTTTATTTTTCATTTAATCTGAGTATAAATTACAATACTATTAAGAATATTGAACACAACACTAAAGTCTCTCAGAGAAATATAGAACATATTTCCCGATGATAGGAATGGGACAGTTGCATGCGTTTATATGCGGTAAGGTAACAAATAGGAAAAATTTAAACGTTGTATTTTTTTTTTAAAAAAAACGTGCTTTTTAAACGCTTTTCACTAAAATGCTTTTAGCTTTATTTTTATTTATAAAATTATTATTCATATTGACAAATTAATTTGTGTAGGAAACAGACGGCGGAACTTGAAACATAAGCACGTTGTACGCTTACGCGTAAATTGAAAAGCGTGCTTATGTGCTTATTCTAAAAAGCAAACTTTTTGAGTGCTTTTCGTTTAACACCCACCTCTAGTAATAGGGTAATAAAACTTGGCCAGTTAGAAAGCTCAGTCGATGCGCGACTAACGCGGAGAGCAGTCGTATTGTTTCGTCACTCTAGTTAGCGCAGCCAAATTGTTTTGCTGTCGCCAAGTCATGCAATAAAAAAAAAGTTTTGTTGTACCTGATAGACATGTACAAAGTAGTAGAGGGCTTGGAAGTTTTACGTGAAATTTACAAAACAATCGATGCGAAACAACAACAAATACAAGCTTCGATGGCGCCATGATTGTAAAGTGTACGCTGCTCTCGAAGTTTGTGTTCAGAATAGAGCCTGGTTGGCAGAGTAGTAGGCTAAATCTACACCCACCGCAGATGAAGGATTGATCTATTGTTCAAGAATGAAATCCTTTGCCCCCGTCTGGTTAAGAGGTAACGGCAAGAAACGGTAAGGATTAAATTTATTAATATGATTGAGAATATAATTGAATATATTATTACCAGGGAGTTCCATGTACTTTGAGTACCAGATAATTCATTCGGAGCGCCAGACCAAGACTAATTTTAAAAAGTTAATTTTCCCAAATTAGTCCTACCGATAATCTAACCCGGGACCTCCTCGCCAACATTACAAACCCCTGGGCCATTGACGTTTGCAAATTATTAAAATGGAAATTACAAAACTTAGGCGAGTTACCGGAGAAGCAGGAAAACCTGTTTTGCGTTATTTAATAGTAAAACCAATTTTGATCTAATTGGGTTTTATTATTAAATTACGGTCTTACTAAAAGACGATACGCCTAAGGTTATTGTCTAAAGAATGTGCCAATTATTTACAATTTATTACACGATAGGATGTACTTTCCCGATCATATAAGATCTAAGGCTAAAATAAAATTCTATTTAGGAATAAAATCTCTAATTTTGCACGTAATTTTCATATGGAGATGTTTCTCTTTGTACTACAGAGAACCTAAATTTTGGTTTTCAACTGAAGCCCTATACTCTAGCCAAATTCGATGTAGAATGTTTAATGACAAAACGTTGCTAGGCATAGATTTTTTTCAATGCTCATTAAGGCTTGCTCTGCCTACGGCCTGCTCCCTTAATTGGAATTTAAATAGGTAAGTAATTGGGTTATGTAGAAGTAATACTTACCTACACAATTATTATAAAATTTACGAAATACCTATTGATACGTATGATTTAGGAATAAAAATAAGTCTTTGCGTCCTATTAATATTTACTGCTAGATGGTAGGTAACGGTAGATGAAAAGAAACAAAATTGTAAGATTTATTTGATATTAATTTACCACATTTAAAATCATCCAGCATCTATTTCCGATTCTGAACTTGAATTACCACTAGAACTCGAATGTTTGCAATCTCTCACTTCAAATCAAAAAGTCACTAGGGATGACACAGTTTTACAAATAATTAATTACTGGTCATTTTTAGGTGATTTGAAACTTCTTTGAATAATATTCATTATAAACATGGCTTCAAGATTTAGTATTATCCACAATCTAGTTTAATTTCGTAGGAAATTATTGAAATTGTATAGTAACTGTGAAACTGAAAATGAAAACCCTAAAAATCATACGTTTTTGTTTGTTGACATTTATTCTACATCGAATTTGGCTAGAGTATAGTTATTAAATTCACATTTACTCAAAAATTTGAAAATTTCCCAGCAGTTTGGGTCGCCATCACAGAAGAAAAAAAGAATGGAAATGGTATCAAGCAACATTTGTATCAAAACCGGTGTCGCCACACGCACGAAACGAATCTTACATTAGTACTAAGATAATATAATTTTGATTGGTTATAAATTATTAAATAAAAAGAAAATAGTAATGAAAAACTTTTGGTAAAAATAACAAACTTATTTGGATCTAATAAGGTTTTACTAACCTCCGTAACTGGTAACTGCCTCTGTGGCCGAACGGTTATCATGTCGGACTGCCACGCAGAGGTCCCAGGTTCGATTCCCGGGCCCGGATATATTTGTATGGCCTACATTTATTTCTCTCGTGAGTTTGGGTGTAATTTGTGGTTGTCTATGTGTGTGTCCATGGCTCCCGCGTCACAGGGTTTGCCTAGTGCGGGGCTATGCTGAGTGTGTACGTTATTATTATTATTATTATTATTATTATTATTATTATTATTATCGTATTTATTTTAAACTCTCGCCTCTCCCAAGGCCTAAAAGATTAATTTTGAATTTTTAAATGGGAGAGGCGGTATTTCCCGGCAATGGCACAGTCGGCCGGGGTCAGGGACTCAGGTCCAAGAATCGGCGAACAATACGTGCTGTATCGAGCAGGACCGCCTTCTGCATTTGTGCTGGAAGCGACACGCCACAGAAATCCAACCGCCTCAAGCTGTTAGAAAGGCTTACTGGAATTAACCCATTTGCGGACAAAACAATTGGGATTATTTCAGTGGAGGCCACCACTTATTATTATTATTATTATTATTATTATTATTACTAGTCACATAAAAGCTAACAATCCTATGAACACAAACTTCTTGGAACAAAAGCAAAAAGTTGACAATCTACAGATAGGGATGTGATATTTAATTGATATCGACATGTTTCATAACTAGCGGAATATTGAACTAGGCATTGCATTATACTTGCTATAATTAGGGTCATCGAGTATATAACCAGAAATAGAGACATATCATTTAATTTATTTGGAAACTATTCTGCCATATCATTGTCGTGACAACTGAGCTCCGATTTCCTAGCCCGAGTTCGAAATAATTGACGGATGTCGTCAATGGGTGTCAAGTGTTCCACTTCAAATGGTCCAGTTAACTTGAGCTTTGCTATAACGGACGAAAATTGCAAAATTACATATTTAATTACCGATGAAAAGTGATTCCGTTTGTTTTGTAATTAGATGTTTTGCTGTTTTCCCACACCACCGAATAGATCAGCACGGCATTGTTAGAGATATTATCTTTATTACAATAAATACAGAATATTTTTTGGAATATACGGAGATATACACACAGATCAGTAGTTGGCCTGTCTATATTTCAGTGCAAACGAGAGTTGATATTTATAAGAGCTGCATCGCTAATGTGTTACCAGGTATAATATGACCCTTACTTCGTCCTATTTCTGGTTATATACTCGATGATTAGGGTTAACCACGGAGTATATGGAAACGGCATTTAAAGCAATTTCTTCGAGAACTAGCGTAGCTGACTTTTACACGCACACATTTGTTACCAAATACACAAGGTTTTACTACACGCAAATATTAATTGATATAACCTACGCAGGCGTGTGCGTGCCTATACGTAGCTACATGCTACAATCACAGTATTAATGATTTATTATACTGTCATCGTACTTTCATTAACCTACTAAATTTCAAGTCAATCCGATCACTGGAAGGGTTGAAATGTTAAAACATTGATGACTGCATCATAAAAATCTTTATTCTCCCCAAAATATAATATATTTGATCAACAATTACTTCGTTCTGAACTGACTGAACATGTCTACACCTATAGCGTCGACGAGCTTGTCCAGAAAATGAAGATACTTATTTCCGAAGGCGAAGAAGCGAATCGTTTGTTTCCTGAAAACTTGACAAAAAGAACTGACAAAGCTTCAGAAATGTTTTCACATTTGGATGTGGTCTATAATTTGTGAATGCGACTCTGAGTTTCATGTCATATATTACCTGATTAACCAAATTATTTATTTCTTAATGAATTTTTCGGTTATTATTAATATGTACATAATTTAATGTGATGTCATGAAATACCTATAGCAAATAGTGCTACATTTAGCTTTTACTGCCTGTTGCTTCAGCCCATTTCTCCTATAAAAAAGATCCGGCGGGAAACTAAAAAAATCAATACAAAAACTGCAAATGTAAATGTAAATCATGCCTGTGATAAAACTAATAACTCAAGCGGACGAAGGTGACGTATAATTAGCAAGTAGGGAGATAGGAATCATGTAGATACGGGAAAGAAAATCTCGAATCGCATAAAGTCTTCATTTGATACTCCACGAACTTACGTGCATTGTAATTGAAATTATCGACACTGTAC